AGCTTTCCTGCAGCAGCCCCTTTTCCAAAGGGGGTTTCTTTTCGGGGGGGGGGAACCACGGGTGTTTAAAGTCCCAAACGAGCTAAAGGCTACGTGCAGGAGAATACGTGCGGGTTTTACGGCTCAGGTTTCCAAGTCGAAGGAAGCTTTTATGGCAAACGTGTTGCAGCTGAGAAAAGGGGGTCTGCAGACAGGTCTAAGTCCATATAGCCCCCTACCTGCCCATCACCTCCTTATGCATCTTGTCCGGGAGATCCCTCTAGCCAACTGATTTACAGTTACCCAAAGGATACACGTACTCTTTTTAAAGAGCTGCCTAACACTGACTTCTGCCTCACTCCGAAATCTCCCACCTTCCACAATTTTTGGAAAGACTACCAGCTCTCAGGACAGCTCTTCGAACAACTTCAGATATCGGATAAGAGCTATCAGACTTGCTATCCGCAGAAGGGTATGAAATACACGCTTAAGACTTCCCTCCTGATCTTGAAGCCGTGGGAGGAGAATTTCAGTGCTGTCATAATATTAGTGTCGCCGAGCTTTGTTCCAAGACAAACCAGCGCGTACTCACCGCTTCTGCCTCTTCTGAGTCACCGATAACGGTGCTGTTCCAGATACCGATGAGGCCCCTATGAATCGCTAGAGTTGGGCATTATCATTAAAAGCATAAGGCTACGGCCACCTCCGCTTACGGTTTTATGTCGATTCGAGTATCCGTCCAAACGCAGAGTCATCCCCGTGTCAGACCGTTTTTTAGACGGACAAACGAGAATCTCGACGTGTTTTGGGGGAGTTAACGCCGTAACCTAGCTATGTGGCGTGAATTTTCCTGTCCGACAAATACAAAGTTAATGCACGGGTTGCGTTTTGCTGCAAGTCAGCTGGCTTTTCTTTCCCAAACCAAAATAGTGGAAATGGAAACCCACATCGAGATACTTATTTCAGTAAACGTTTCCCACTTGCCGATTTGGAATCGGTTTTATCCTGGACCACAATCAAGAGGTCCCAACCTCCCCTTCGACAAACTGAACGATTATCCAACAATTAGTTGTGGGTTTTAGCTCTGCAAGTCCTCAGAGGGACATCTGGGAGGCTACGACCCAAACTCCACTTCTCTAAGGAGCGGAAGACGAAGCGAAATCCCTCCCGTAACCCTGAGGATTACGACATCCATAAAGCTCGATAAAAACATAACTAATGACACAGCACCAGCTGCAAAAAAAAAAGAAGTTTCGACGTTCTCCCTGTCGACAACCGCCCCATCAGCCACTGATTTGGCTGCAGCTCCACTGCACGGCCAAGGCGATGATGCATCTTTTACTAGAGCCACAAGCGAAACCGAAAGAGGATGCTTTCGGGGCAAAAGGGCGCAGAAAACCCTCAAAACGCGTGGCGGAGATAGTACCGTACCCTGCCTGCGCAAGCTCGCTGCGTTATGCAAAGCGCCCTTTTAGCGGCTTTCGTAGCCCCTTTGCAAATAAAGGATGCCCCTCCAGAGAAGCCCCAGTCCTGTCATTTGCTCGGGCCACCACAGCTAGGTTTGCAGGGGAAAAAAAGGTCATACCTCGATCGAGGAAAGCTGCAAAGATATAAATGCACCCCAAGCCAGCGCTTAACTACACGAGACTGTAAGAAGCGCTTTCACACCCTAAAAAACTTGGCTGGTTTTTCCAGCTACAGTGGCCAGGCGAATAAGCAAATTGCTCCCTGCAGACAAGGTCATTTAATGGGCAGAGATGAATTACGGGCGTCTTAAATCGAACGGGTAACTCGATACTCTATCCAGCGCAAAGCCCAAGTGTTTCACGCGCATTCGCAAAAACCCCAGGATTAAACGACGGTTGTGTTTGGCCACGGACTCAGGCAACCCTGTTGCAACGGAGAAAACATTTGTTCCTTGAAAAATAACACAAGGACGTGCCAGGTTTCGGAGCGAGGCCGTCACAACGGCGTTTCTTCTGCCTAGTTCAATCAGGAGGTAGAAACGCGCTCTGGATTACCGAGGCAGGACAAGCCTTGCTTCTGAAGAGGATAAAAAAAGGAAAAAAAAAAAAAAATCACATTAGTGACGGATTTGGCGGCAAACAGAGATTTCCGGGCCCGTCTGCTGCACACGTTTTAAAGCTTTCCTCAAAAAATAAAGGGGAGGGAGGGAAGGGTGATTTTGGAAAGCGAGGACAGGAAACGGTGCACTGGAGGCACGCCGAAAAAAAAAAACAACGGAGGGGGAGAGAGCTGCAACTTGTTGCATAACCGTAACATTTGCACCCAAAAGAGCTGCCGTCCAGCGTGGGCACTCTTGGTCCGCCGTCGAAGAGCCTCTGCCAGTCCTAGCGCCCGGGAACGACCCAAAACCCCGCTTTTTGCACGACATAAAAGCTGTTTTGTACATCCGAGCGACCAACCAAAAAAAAAAAAAATCACTGCAGTGTTTACGGTTGGCCGTCCGGCATGAGATTGCGTATTTGCTCCTTCTACCCGGACTCCTGCAAGCGGCTTATAACCCTTCTGCGCATCCAGCGGCGGCAGCCGGGGCGCTCGGGCGGCGCTGGATCATCCGGGTGCGACTGCTGCCGCGCAGCCGGGATTTTGTCCCGTTTTCCCTCTCGTTAAGCCTTTAAGGAGGCTAAAGGACAGCACTGAGCAGCGCTGCTTTTCCCTGCGAGGCCGAGAGTTCACGCCGAGGCCAAGGCACTCTTCTACAACTCGCAACGCGTGCCAGGAAACTACTGTAAGAAAAACGTTCGTTATTTTTCTCAATGCGCCTATCAGGATCAGCACGGAGACCCTCTAGGGATTTTGCAAGCGAGATGCCAGGTTTTTGTTTGTTTGTTTTTAAGAGGTGATCTTTGCAACGTGCTTTTCCAAGACTCCCGTCTCCACCGTTTTCTCTTCTCCCCCTTCCCCACGTAGGGAGCGAGCGCGACCGAACCCGTTGGTCTGCAGTGACGAAGCCCGCCGGGTCAATATTGACAAGGATATTTTTGCGAACCAAAACCACCAACGCTCTCGGCAGAGCCGAGCAGCCTGGGGAGGGAAGGTGCCCCCTTCTCGCGCTTACCGGAGAGCATCCAACGCGGAGGAAGAGCGCAGTTCAGCCGTCCCTCCTCAAAGTCCAACCCCCAAAGAGGACCAAATTAAAGGCCAAACCTAGATGGGAATTTCAGTTTGTCTTCCTGCAATTCAGGCCGAGCCCGAGACGAGCTGGTGATAAACGGGGCGGCGTTTTCTGCGGAGATAAAACAAAAATTCCCTTCCCGGGAAGCTGGTGCAACTCTGCATCCTCTACGCGGGGCTGGGAAAAGAGGAGAATTTGCTTTGCCAAACGCCGGTCCCAAAAGAGTTTGGTCTTTCCCCCCCGCCCCGATTTGGAAACCCGCGTACTTCTCTGTTACGGCCAAACAAAGATCCGGCTCAATTATATCCCTGCAGTTGAGTCAAACTGCCACAAACTGAGCTTCGGATTGAGCGTCTCTGAAGATTTAACGCCAAAACCACAATGGAAATAACTGGGCTTTCCCAAAGGCATCTCTGCTGCGCTTAAAAACGCGGATGGCCAAAGTGTAAGATTATTTTAATTAGGTCACTTTACCACCAGCTTAAAGGCGCTAAAGCCTTCAGGGAAAAACAAAAAAACCTCCCTCCGTCTCACAAACGAAAGGGGCCGTTTCGGTCGCCGCCGCCGCTCTCGGCCTCCTTCGGATTAGGAAGGGCCAGTGAAAAGCGGACGCGCCGGGCCTGCGACGACAGGCGAGCAGGGCTCCTCCAGCTGCTGTTTTCAGTCCGCCGCAACGGGTGAACCCTTCCGCGTCGAGCGAAGCCCCAGAGGGACGCGCGCCTTCGCAACCCGCTCGAGGGAGAAAAATAGACGCTTCGGACTTGAAAGCGGTGGATCGTTGCGGAAGGAGCAGTCTCAGGCGCCGGCAGACCTCAACGCTTCTCCTTAAAGCGAGCTTTGCCGTTGCAGCAACGACCGCTGCGACGGTCCCAAGCCCACCTGCAGCTGTAGAAAGCCTGCGGAACATCCCAAAACAGGGTTAACACCCTTATTAACGAACCTCTCTATCGTCGCTCAACAGATTAAGATCAAAAGAGGGATCGTGAGGACCCTTCGCGGCCTCCTGCATAACTCGGTACGCTTCATCCAACCATTTCCTACCAATTTTCACCTGCAGCGGCTGGCAGAGCCACGGCCTCTTTTCGAAGAGCAGCCGAGCCGGGAAGCAACGCGGAGGGTTCTGCGCTTCCGAAAAAGGTTGCGCCAACGGTCCAGACGCCGTCACCTAAAACTATAAACCTCACTTCGACTCCAGCTTCACCTGGCTCCGTTGCTGGCTATTGCTCGAGCCACGCTTCAAAGCGCTAGGCGTGAAAGCCTTCTGCCCACCAGGAAGCTCTTCGCCAAGTCCAGCGTTCGCAGACTTCCCACCTCAACGTAGCTTCTCGCGGAAAAGCACCGCTGGATTTTCTCTCCCTCCAGGCAGTTTTTGCAGAGTTGCAGAGATCCTCAGGACGGGCCAGATAGAGGGTTTTTTTTTTCTTCCTTCTTCCTGAAGTCTGAAGGGCATCAGACAGGTCCAAGCTACCTTGTGACAAAAAACTTAGTCCCCAGTTTCAAGCATCCACCGAACAGCCTGGAGAGTACAGAGCTGGTTTGCTAAGCCTATCACTTGGTCTTCCTTTGGAAGCTCAGAGGGCGGCACGCAAACAGCCCAAGGGGTCCACGGCAAAGACCAAATGAACATTAACCATCCTACCTTGTTTAGGTTGCAAATGTTTCATTTGTTAAACTTTCGGTTCAGAAGTCGAGGCTTGAGGAGGCCCAAGAAAGCGCGGTTAGAGCCCTTTGCAGTTCAGCGGGCAAGGCGCCTACCTTTAACGCACGCCTCGAGCTTTAAACCCGTCCTTCTGAACTGCTGCAGAACTACTGCATTTGCAGTGCACGCTGCTCTTTAAAAATTGCATTTAGGAACCGTTTCTGCGAGTGTCGGGGCTGGCGGGGGGGGGAGGCAGAAAGTTTTTAAGACTCTGCCGCTCCAGCTCCCTGCACCGCGAGGAGCGTTTGAACCGCGAGCTCTCCTTCTGCAGCACAGGATAAGCCTCCTTCTTTACCAACAAAAGCCTGTTTGCCCAAGAAACCAGATAACTGCCTGCCCAGAAAGTAAATAAGGGGCTTTGCCCGGACGACTCGTCTCCAAGGGAGGAAATCTCCTGCTCACATAGTCAGTCGCTGGAAAGGCCAGAAAGCGCAAGCGCACACCAAATCACAGACGTTTAATTTCAGTTCTGCTTCAGAAAAGCCCACAAAATCGGAGGACGTTCATCATTTTCACCGCTGCAAGCCAGTGCTTTGTGACCGCCCCGAAAGCTGTGCTCCGCTCCATCGCGAGGGATTTACAAGCTGTTAAATGCGGCAGCGAAGGGAACGGTCACACGGCTAATTGGCTGATTACCATGAAAAATTATGCTAATAGGTGGAAGAGCGCTTCCTCCTCGGCTCCGAAAGGCTCGGCAGCTGCACAGGGAAAGGAGATGACTTGCTCCTGCATCACCAAACTGGGGCTTGTTTTATAGGACTTGGTCTGCTACGTGCAGAGAGATGCTCGTAATGAAACACGGGTTTGATGTAACGAAACCAGAAAGCCTTCCGCAAACGGGCTTAGCGCTCAATCCCAAACCTTGTGGCGGAGGGAGAAAAATCCAGCTAAATAATCGGGGATTAAATATCAGAGATAGAAAATGCTTCTTCCTCTTAAAAAACCTCTTGCCTCATGCTATTCTCCCGCCTGCCAGTCACCAAAACCACCACGTACGTTTTGCCTTTTACTATGAGCTTTTCAGAGCGGAGCAACGCGTTGCGCAGTGCTTCGCGCTCTGGGTCTCCGCCGGAAACTCCTGACGGTCCCACCATTCAAGTGGCAACAAAGCTGGATCCTCTGGGGAGGATCCTCCAACCTCCCAGGATTTAGCTTCCCTAAAAGGCAGTTAATCCCCTAGTTGATCCCCGAGCGTCATGCTGGGCTTCTGGCAGTACCGGGCTGATCCAGAGGCCCGGCTGTCTGCGAGGAAGCCAAGGCACAGAGCGCTGAAGAGGCTCCAACCATTAAATCCATTCCCCGGCTGGCATTAACTACTAAAGAAAGGCATTTCTGTAACCTTAAGCGGTCTGTCCGCAGTAAGTTTTGGTTCAGCTGCTCCTTGGGCTACGTTTGGCAGCAACGAGGCGAACCTCAGGAGCGCACAACGCGTTAAGCAAAGCCGCTGCAAGCGGCGAACCCCCTCTCGCACAGGCTCGGCGCGCATGCAACCATCTGCCTCTAAACAACCTGCAGACAAGAGCAGGTTACAAGGGGACGAACGAGCGTGACAGCCGCCAAAGTAAACACCCGGTTATTTATTAACGCGCCGCTTTAGCTCCTGGTCGCAGTCAGCACGTCTCCTTCGAGCCCCGACGCCATGCAAGATAAACATCGCTGTAGGAGACTCACGCCACCCTGACGCTTTGCCTTCTCCCCCTTCTGCTCGGTGTATCTGCTTTGGACGCGCAAGCCCAGGAGGCAGGAAACGAGGCAAAGACGCTGGGAGGCGAGAGGGAGCGAACCCACGCGGCAGGGACTGCGACTCCCACGTGCCGCTGCGCTGCTCGAGTAGTATGTTACAAAATCAGACGGAGCAAGGACAAAGCAGGATTCCTGCCAGGGATATTAACGTGGTCTGTCTGTTAAAATAATTTAGCTGTAAGCCAGAGTTCTCCAAGTGAGATGTCTAAACTGAATCTTTTTCTCCCAAGCTCCTGCTCGGTGCCGGACGCAAAGCTACTGGGAGAAAGCTGTTTTAATCTGGAATGCTGCCTCCACAAGGAAACCATCCTGCTGCTGCTTATTCCACGCGATTTCCCCTCCTAAGCAAGGCTTAAGCATGAAGTCAGCATCCTCCCACGCAAGCAGCACAGGAACTGGCCCAGAAGAAGAAAGCGACCTTCTTCTCTAGGGAAACAAACAAAAAAAACAACCAAAAAAGAAAATCACCAAAGTTGTTTGCTGGCAACTAAATGGCACCTTCCCTCAAAGCAGCACCAATGCCAGCAAGGGCCAACACCTGATGCAGCCGGAGGAAACCAGGTGTAAAAGCACCAACGACAAACCCAGAGTCACTACTGACTTCGAGATTTGCTCGTCCTTCAGCGAAGGACGCCGAACTCTGCGTTTTGGGGAAACGCCGCTTACCGGCTGCAACAAATCTTTTCCACCTGACCGCACGAGACAGAAGCGTGACTCAGCTCTCCCCCAGGATCGGTGTGCCATGTCCCTTCCCGACAGGCAGTTTGCCTGGTGTTGTATCGAGCGAGTGAGATAAGCCCCCAATACCTGCAACGATTGCTCTCGTACTCTGTCTAGGGTGCAGAATTTATATGGCTTCGTCATTACTCTAATGCAAACAGCTAAACAGCGTTAAACCATTTCCTACCCAAACCCAATAGATAACAAACGCTAAAACCTTGAGGTTGTGAAGCCAAACGTTTGAGATGTCAGAAATAGGACTTGACAGACATGACACCTCTGAATTTTGCATCTTTTCCATGCCCTCTGCTCCCTAACATCATCTCCTTTTTGGCCCCGGTCAGCCTTACTCTGGCAATCACATCGAGATGGTTTTTGCCTTCTGCTTTCTATCAGCCAAATCTTCATAGATGGCAAAAGACAGGTTCTCAGCATCACCCTCCAAAGCCTCTGGTTTCTCTTCCCAAGCATGGAGGTCCTAGAGCTTTCTAACAAAGAGGTGCGTGAAATTTTAGGGGCTGGGAAAAGAAACAAACAGGTATTTTCTCCTCATCTTGCGCTCTGGCTTGAGGCCAGTCAGGAAACCACACCTTGAGCAGAAATCGGCATGAAGAGGGGTGGTTCCCACCACCTTCAGCCCTCGCCCACACATGGGAATGCCGCAGGAGAGAGCCCTCGTGCCAACGCGAGCATCTGAAAGGCTTCAAGACGGATCAGATCAAGGAGGGCACCCACTGACGACTCAGCTTTGTCTGGTTAATCTTCTGCCTTTTAAGCTGGCCCTTGCAGAGAGCAAGCAC